GCCTGACTACCAACCAGCCACAGCAGCTAGCCAGCAACAGTAATTCAGGTTAGGAGAGCCATCTTGGGCTGGGTGTCAGAGAGCGATGTTATATTACTATATTGTGGATAGGGGCCAGAGTGTTAGAGACGGTCGAGGGATCATACATGTACTCGAGCTCTGCCCTAGACCTTGGTGGATACGTACAAAGGTCTAGTCCCACTGTGGTTCTTCCATGTAATACTTTTACTTTCAGATTTCAACATCCTAGGTGTCACCTTCTCCTCCCAAAAACACCTCGCTCTGCCTCTTATATTCCTTAACCCATTCCTAGTAGATTGCACAGTCACTTGAAAAGTGCTTTCTTCACCTACTGTGTCTGTCAATTGCTTATTGTTAAATATCCCCAAGCTGCTGCTAACAATAATTTCTAAGGTTTTGTTTTATTGCTAGATTCTGGTTTTCCTGTCTATTTCTACGAATTCAAGCACCGCCCATCAATGTTTGAAGATTCAAAGCCAGATTTTGTTACAGCAGATCATGGAGATGAACTTCTGTATGTCATCGGAGCCCCGTTCTTGTCTGATATGGAACTATTAAGTGGTAGGTCTTGGATATTACTGGTCATCTTCATTTATAGTGGCTCTGCCATTTTGCAAGATTTGTTTTTAAATTAATATTTTCTGTCCCCATATTTCTCCTTGTTTTTTATTGTGTCTGTTTTTTTTTCCTTTCTTCAATTCAGCTTAATTTTTTCAGTTCTAAATAAGAAAAATAGGGGCGACCTTTTGCCATGGGGGTGCTTAACAGTAACGACTTTGTGACGAAAGCAACTTCGCCACTGGTTTTTGGAGGGGTCTGTTTGCCAGCCTCCTACCCTAGGACTATGGGCCCTGTGATAACCCATGTTCAAAAGTACTGTTTCTGCCCCTTCAGCTTTTACTGGAACAGATTCAAACATGTGGTGGTGGCCATCTTAAATTGTCCAGCAGTGTTTTGTCGTCGAGTGTATGGAACTGTTTTGGGGACTATGTGCACGGTGGGGCAAAAATAAGACTTCCAGGAAATTCCTGAACCCCTGAACCGATCCGGGTGATTTTTGGATATGTTGTTCACCCAGATCAGGGGATGTGTTGTATTTTGGGGTACTTTTTGGGGTTTGTAAAAATTTATATTTTTTCTGCTTAGAGTTAATTGAGTTAGTCCATTGTCTTCGTTAATTATATCACAGGCAGATGGGAGGGATTGTGTACACTGTATGGGAGTGACTGAATGTAAAACGATGTTTTTATTGGCTTGTTGTTCCTGTGTCCCTGTACCCCACAATGTCCACCTGGGTGGTAACCTTGTGGGGAAAACTGTATAAAAGACCAAGCTGTTCAATAAACCCTCAGATCTGCTGTTCCTGTTTGACCCTCAACACGTAGTCTTGTCTCGTGATTGGAGGGGAACTTCTATAATCACACTGGTGATTGCTATACTTTGTATACTCCCCTGGGCTTTAATCAATTAGCTCTTTTAAGAGCTGTTCCTGTTACACTCTCCTCGAGGCGAGGTCTCTCCCACATGGTCCTGGCTTTCACCCAGGTTTATCCAGAGTGGAAGGAAGTTGGTGACGGCAGTTGGCCAGTTAAGCAATGGCGGTTGTGGAGTCTGCGGTGGTTGTGCTTATAGTCCTCGGCGTCAGCTAGGAAGCGTCCATTAACGGAGGTACCCAGTCGGGGTACCAGGTGGTCCGGTACATTGGTAACAGGCTTCATTTTCTTTGAAATGTTTTTAAAGTCTGGAGTCCCCCGGTGCTGTCCTTTTATTCAATATTTAATCATTTTTAATGCTAAACGAGAGTTCCCAGCCACCCATCACCTCTCTGCTGCTCAAACTAGTGAGGACGCATTAGCGTGAGCTGTATTGGGAGTTGAGAGTGTCAGCTGACTGCTTTTAACCTACCACAGCAACCATGGTTGGTATGGGTAAAATTATGTGTGTAATCTTAATCTTATCCATGCCTCCTGTATGGACCAAGCGGTGGGTAGTCAGCGACATTCAGTGTTAAACTGTTTGAAAATTATTTTACACTGAATGGAGGGACTCCAGGCAATATAACCAATTCAATGAGATGAGTGGCTAATAGAGCCTACATTGCCCTTAAAAGGGACACAATAGTCATAAAAACAACTAAATTAAGCCGTTTTGGTGTATAGACCAATGCCCCAACAGTTTCACTGCTCAATTCTCTGTCATTTACGAGTTAAATCACTTTAGTTTCTGTCTATGGAACACTAGCCACACCCAGTGGCGTACACATGACCCATGGGGCACCGGTGCGAAAACGTATCCGTGGCCCCCCCCCCCCCGTGTGCGGGCCGGGCCGCAACACATGGCGGTGGGCACCTGGTCGCAGGGGTTACAGGGCTGCGACCCCTGCGACCGCAGTATGTACGCCAGTGCATGCAGATGCACACACACTTAAAAGACCACTACAGACACCCAGATCACATCAGCTCATTGAAGTCGTCTGGGTGTCAGGCCCCTCTAGTTTTAACCCTGCAGCTGAAAACATAGCAGTTTCAGAGAAACTGCTATGTTTCACTGAGGGTTAATCCAGCCTCTAGTGGCTGTCTCACTGACAGCCGCTAGAGGAGCACACTGAATGTCCATAGGAAAGCATTGACTAATGCTTTCCAATGGGCGGTTTGAATGCGTGCGCGGTCGCATTCGGAGCTGAGAGGCTGAGGGATCACCAGCGCCAAGGGAGTCCGGCGCTGGAGAAAGGTAAGTGCTGAAGACACACACACTCTCACTTACAGACGCATACACACTAGCTAACAGACACACACATGTACTGACAGAGACACACTCAGCGACAGACATACATACACACTCACTTACAAAACATACACTTTCATTGACAAACACAAACTCACTAACAGACATCAAACAGACTCACTAACACACACACACACACACACTCAGTAAGACACACACAGTAACACACTCACTAGCAGACACACACACTAACACTCACACTAACACTCACACTAACACACACTCTAACACTCACACTAACACTCACACTAACACTCACACTAACACTCACTAGCAGACACACACACTAACACTCACACACACAAACACTCACACACACACACTCTAACACTCACACTAACACTCACTCTAACACACACTCTAACACACACACACACTCTAACACTCACACACACACTCTAACACGTTTAAAAAAAAATAAAAAAATGTAATCCCCCCAGCCTCCTTACCTTTTGGAGTGCTGGGGGGATTCCCTGGGGTCCAGTGGTGCTGCTGGGCTGGCTAGCGGGCTGTCTGGCAGGCGCGCGAGGGAGCACTCTGCTCTGAGTGCTTCCTCTTCAGCTCCCTCGCGCGCCGCATAGGGATGCCGGCGCCGGAAGATGATGTCATCTTCCGGCTCTGGTATCATTGCGGTGCACGAGGGAGCTGAAGAGGAAGCACTGAGTGCTCCCTTGCGCGCCCGCCTGCCCGACCGGGCCCCCTGCGACCCTGGTATGTACGCCACTGGCCACACCTCCCCTGGTTGTGACTCACACAGTCAGCATGGAAAAAAAATGTTTCATTTTTAATCAGAAGTTAACTTGCTTTAAACTTCTTTATCTCCTGCTCTGTAAATTGAACTTTAATCACATGCATGATCTATAAGGCTTTAACAAAGTAGGATATAAGAAATTCTAAATTAAACAGAATGTGCAATAAAGGAAGTTTAAACATTAGCTCTCTCTTTACAGAAAGTGTTAAGGAAAGCTGTGTAAGTCACATGCAGGCAGGTGTGACTAGTGCTGTATGAACAAAATGCTAAATTCTCTGACATTTAGGAGTTAAATCAGTGAGACTGCAGGGGCATGATCTATACACCAAAAACTACTGCATTAAGCTAAAGTTGTTTTGGTGCCTATAGTGTCCCTTAAAGCAAAGTTCACATCATAATTAGGCATTTGATACAGTTCCACACAATAGATTAGTGTTCAAACTCAAGGAAATCGGTCTAGATGAAAATGCTTGTTCTTGGGTAGAACATTGGCTTAAAAACAGAGTACAAAGAGTTGTCATTAATGGTAAATTTTCAACTGGACAGAGGTGGCAAGTGATGTCCCTCAGGGGTCTGTTCTGGGACCCCTTCTATTTAACATGTTTATAAATGATCTTGAAGACCGCATTGAAAGTCATGTTTCAGTGTTTGCAGATGACACCAAACTTTGTAAAACAATACAATGTGAGCAAGATATTACTTTGCTGCAGAGGTATTTAGATAGACTGGGGGACTGGGCACTCAAATGGCAGATGAAACTTAATGTTGAAAAATGCAAAGTTATGCACTTCGGCGTAAAGAATACACAAGCAACGTATACCCTTAATGGAAGCGAATTAGGGATAACAACACATGAAAAGGACTTGGGAATTGTTATAGACAACAAACTATGCAACAATGTGCAATGTCAATCAGCAGTGGCCAAGGCCAGTAAGGTATTGTCATGCATGAAAAAGGGCATTCATTCTCGGGACAAGAATATAATTTTGCCTCTTTATAAATCACTGGTAAGACCCCATATTCAATATGCTGTGCAACTTTGGGCACCTGTTCTAAAGAAGGATATTATGGCACTAGAAAAAGTGCAGAGGCGGGCTACAAAACTAATAAAAGGAATGGAACATATCAGCTATGAAGAAAGGTTAACAAATTTAAACTTATTTAGTTTAGAAAAACGTCGCCTGAGAGGGGATATGATAACTTTATACAAATATATTCGGGGCCAATACAAACCATTGTGTGGAAATCTATTCACAAACCGGACTTTACATAGGACACGAGGCCATGCGTTTAGACTGGAAGAAAGAAGATTTCGTCTAAGGCAAAGGAAAGGTTTTTTACTGTAAGAACAATCAGGATGTGGAATTCTCTGCCTGAAGAAGTGGTTTTATCAGAGTCCATACAGATGTTCAAACGGCTACTAGATGCATACTTGCAAGAACAGAATATTCAAGGATATAATCTTTCAATGTAGGGTAATAACTGCTTGATCCAAGGATAAATCTGACTGCCATTCTGGGGTCAAGAATTAATTTTTTCCCTAACTTGTTGCAAAATTGTGCTTCAAACTGGTTTTTTTTGCCTTCTTTTGGATCAACAGCAAAAAAACAAATGTGAGGTAGGCTGAACTTGATGGACGCAAGTCTCTTTTCAGCTATGTAACTATGTAACTATGTAACTATGTAATAATCCCATGACCTTGTCTCTCAATTTAATAAACCCCAAGCATCATGTAATTATGCACCAGAATTGGTTTATTTACTGTTGTCAAATGTCTGTGTGGAAAGGAAGACATATATAAAATGTGACTAAAAAATATTAAAATAAAAATGAAATAAAATTGTATATAAAGCTCTTCATATAGGATTCCTGCTTTATCGATACACAATAAAGATACAAAAAAGAAGTAGAAAAGTGAAGCATTAGAAATCATCATAATGTATATGGCAACATATGGTGAAACTGTGTTGTGTGTGTGTGTTTTTTTCTTTTCTTCATACGATGTTTCAACTAAATAATTACTGTTATTAAGTACAAGTGATAGAACTTTAACAACCTTGTATAATGTTTTAATATAAAATCCTATAATGATATTTCTGAAGTTTCCCTCATTTGCTGAAATGCATCTCTTTTAGTTATTCATCTTTGAGTTTCTATTTCCATGTTACATTGTGTCCACAAACAGTAAGTCTATCTGCTTCCTTCCGAAGGTGATATGACAGATGAAGAAGAGGCCCTCAGTAAAAATGTCATGAAATATTGGGCCAACTTTGCTCGAAATGGGTAAGACCAGTGTTGACTACTCGATTTAAAGAATATAATGTTTATAAAGCACTGTGCCTCTCACAGGAATAACACATTCATGCAATGGACAATTTAGAGGAAGTCACTTGAGGCATTTCAAGGTACTGAGACAGGATTTCATAAGGAGACAATGTTTCGGCTCCTCTCTGAGACTTTATCAAGGTGCCGAAATGTTGTCTCCACTTCCTTGTTTTAAATAAAGACTGCCTTTTAGAAGAAACCTCAAGTGTGCCTGGATATTTTTTTTTCCCCCATTTGATGTCTTCAGGGACTGGCCCTCATTTTCTGGAGCACCCTGCAAGAAGTATTCCTCCCTTTTTTATTGTGTAAATTTTACTCTTTTTTAAAAAAAAATGTTTTTGTATTTTTTTTTGCAAACAACTGTACTTGGCTCTCCAGGTGACATACAGAGACCACAAGACCTTATGGCTACAGGAACTTCCCCAGTGGCACCCCCTTTCAGTCAGTCACCAAGTGAGGGGTGATTAATGTAGTTGATGTGTTGCTACCTCTCTCTTGATTGTGTGTGTAGCTTAGCCCAATTCATGGGATGAGGCTAAATGCAGATTTATCAGTGAGGGTTCAGAAGTCAGAAGGCAAATATTGCCTGATGCTCCATAACTCAAATCCCTAATAGCAATGAGTCTATTACAAAGGATATACCTGGCCTTCTCTTTCGGCCAGTTATTAAATCCAAATATGAGGTGTGTAATCACTCAACTAATGCTCACTGCTTACTTTGATTTATATTCCTACAGTGATCCAAATGGACCAGGTCTGGCCAAGTGGCCAAAATATGACGAAGATGAATATTATCTGCAAATTAACCTTGAACAAAAAGCATCAAAGAAGCTAAAACATGGAAGATTTGAGTTTTGGACCAAGACACTTCCTGAGAAAATCCAACAATTATCAGCAGGAGATCATACAGAGTTATAAACTGCTTAACATTTTGTCTCATATACACAATTTCCTATTCAATAAAAAATACACATTTTAATACAGGTTACGCAGTACGTGGTTTTTAAAGGATGCTCTGGAGGTGGCTACATATGACTCCCATAACCTAGTTGAGTCAGACAGACACATTAATTGATACTTCTGTGCTGATCTGGTGCTTCCATGCATAATTGCCCTTTAGGCATTACACATATACCACTAAAAATGGTGCAATTGAAAGATATTATGTAACACTTAAACTGCTTTTAGGCTGTTTGATTTGGTAGCATAGAGGCACATTCTGGTGACACCCAGCTGATTTATGAGTTCTGTAAATAGAACAGAACAGTGTTTTAATGAAAAACCACAGAACCAAGTTCCATGCCACCCATGCTCTTTTGGCCTACCTGATGGGCAGAACTTCAGGGCCCAGTCAATCTACTGTCTTCTCCCCCGGCCCCCACCCCTGCGTGGCCGGTGGGGGCCCTAAATAACAATAAGTCCTCCCCCTATTGTCCTCCCCCCGGCCCCCACCCCTGAGCGGTGGGTAGGGGCCATGAATAACAATAAGGGGGGACCTATTGTCACCCCCCCCCCATCCAAAACCCCATCACCCTAAAAATAGCGTGGGGGGAATAAAATAACAAACTACCTGTAAAGAAAATGAAACTTACCATTTGATGTCTTCTTTTTTCTAAAATCTTAATTTTTCAGCCCCAAAAAAGGCCAAATAAAAACCATAATACCCGTTGAACTTGTAAAAAATAATATAAAAAAACTACGAAAAAGAAAAAAACTTGACGCTAAAAAAATAATCCATCTTCATCCAGCAAGGGCACGGTGCAGAATAAGCTTCGCAGGGCGGGGCAAGGCCCTACAGTTAGGCTCAGAACACTCTGATTGGTGGGTTTAAGCCAATCAGAGTGCTCTGTGTCATTTTACGCAGCGTGGGAAAGTTCTTTGTAATTTTCCCACACTGTGTAAAATGACACAGAGCACTCTGATTGGATGGATTTCAAGGCATCCAATCAGAGTGTTATGAGTTATTTTACACAGCGTGCTCTCGCCGGGGGAAGATGGATTATTTTTTTAGCGTCAGGTTTTTTTCTTTTTCTTTTTAAAAGTTTTTCTTTTCTTTTGTGCTCAGGTTTTTTCTTTTCTTTTTTACAAGTTCGATGGGTATTATGGTTTTTATTTGGCCTGCTCTGGGTGGGGGCTGGGGGGGGATGCTAGTTTTTTTTTTTTAACAGTGAGCAGCCATAGGATGCATTGCGTGAATCTGTGTATGTAAGAGATGCAGTGTGTGTCTGTAAGGGGTGCATTGAGTGTGTGTAAGAGAGGAATTGTGTTTCTGTGTGTATGTAAGAGAAGCAGTGTATGTTTGCATGTGTGTAAGGGATGCATTGTGTGTTTCTGTGTATGTGTGCAAAGGATGAATTGTCTTTATGTGTAAGGGTTGCATTGTGTGTGTGTGTGTAATGGATGCATTTTGTGTTTCTCTGTGTGTAAGGGAAGCATGTTGTGTTTCTGTGTGTGTAGGGATGCACTGTGTGTTTCTGTGTATGTATAGGGATGCATTGTGTGTGTGTGTGCGCGTAGTGTGAAAGAGCTCCCTGTCCTGCCCCCTGTCCTGTAGAGCTCTCCCTTCTGTCCCTTGGAGCTCTCCTCTGCCCCTTAGTGGCCTCTTCTTTCCCCCCACCCTCCCCTACCAGTCTTTTCCCACCCCTCCGTGTTCTCCTCACCCCCCCTCCCTGTGTTCTCCTCATCTCCACTTCTCCTCACCACTCCCCTCCCTGTGTTCTGCTCACCTCCCCTTCTCCTCACCTCCCCTCCCTGTGTTCTCCTCATCTCCCCACCTCGTCACCTCCCCCTCCCTGTGTTCTCCCTTTCTCCTTACCTCCCCCTCCCTGTTTTCCTCATCTTCCTTTCTCCTCACCACCCACCCTCCCAGTGTTCTTCTCACTCCCCCCTCCTGTGTTCTGCTCATGTCCCCCCCTCCCTGTGTTCTCATCTCTCCTTCTCCGCCCCCTCCCTGTGTTCTCCTCACCCCCTCCTGTGTTCTCCTCATCCCCCCTCCCTGTGTTCTTCTCACTCCCCCCATGTTCTTCTCACTCCCCCGTGTTCTTCTTTTCTGTGTATGGGGATAGGGATGCATTGTGTGTGTGTGTATAGTGTGAAAGAGCTCCCTGTCCTGTCCCCTGTCCTATAGAGCTCTCCCTTCCGTCCCTTAGAGCTCTCCCCTGCCCCTTAGTGGTCTCTCCTCTCCCCCCACCCTCCCCTACTGGTCTCTTCCCACCCCCTGTGTCTCCTCACCACCCCTCCCTGTGTTCTCCTGCTCCCCTTCTTCTCACCCCCCGTGTTCTCCTCATCACCCCTTCGCCTCACCTCTCCCCTCCCTGTGTTCTCTCCTCATCTCCCCTTCTCCTCACGTCTCTCCCTCTCCCTGTGTTCACCTCATCATCCTTTCTCCTTACCCCCACCCTCCCTGTGTTACTCTCACTCCCCCCTCCCTGTGTTCTTTTCATGTCCCCCCCTCCCTGTGTTCTCATCTAACCTTCTCCACGTCCGCCCTCCCTGTGTTCTTCTCACTCCCCTTGTTCTCACCCCCCATGTTCTTCTCACTCCCCGTGTTCTTCTTACTCCCCCGTGTATTTCTTACTCCCCAGTGTTCTTCTTACTCCTCCCTGTGTTCTTCTTACTCCCCTGTGTTCTTCTTACTCCCCTCCCTGTGTTCTCCTCACCCCTCCCTGTGTTCTTCTCATTCCCTCGTGTTCTTCTCACTCCCCGTGTTCTTCTTACTCCCCCATGTTCTTCTTATTCCCCCATGTGTTCTTCTTCCTCCCCCCGTGTTCTTCTTAGTCCCCCTATGTTTTTCTTACTCCCCCCATATTCTTCTTACTACTCCCCCATATGTTCTTCTTACTACTCCCCCATGTTCTTCTTACTACTCCCCTCTCCCTGTGTCCTTCTTACTCCTCCCCATGTTCTTCTTACTACTCCCCATATGTTTTTCTTACTCCTCCCACCCTCCCTGTGTCCTTCTTACTCCCCTCCCCCCTCACTGTGTCCTTCTTACTCCCCCTCCCTCCCTATGTTCTTCTCACCCCCCTTCCATTTGTAGTGTGGGTGGCCGAGCTCCTCTTCGGTCCGCGGTACAGGAGCTTCTGTTTCCTGTACCTGGCCAGACTTACAGGATGTGCATGGATGAATATACTGGGGACACTAGTGACGTTTTCAAAAGCCGCAACCGATTTTCTGGATTTATGTGGAGACGCCGTGTTTGTCATGCCAGCTCTAAAAATGGCTAAATATCACGAGGTATGTGATCCGTACCTTGATATTAATTTTGTTTCTGCAGTAACTCTACGTTACAGGACCATTCCGTGGTATTTCTAAATATGATTAACATCCTTACGTCATTCTCTGTATTGTGCACAATGGGCAAGTCAGAAAACAATGTCACAAGGAAAGCCTTGTGAGGTTCAGACTACAAATCCCCTTCTCCTCCCCTCCCCCTCCCTGTGTTCTCCTCATCTCCCCTTCTCCTCACCTCCCTCTTCCTGTGTTCTCCTCATCTTCCTTTCTCCTTACCCCCCACCCTCCCTGTATTCTTCTCACTCCCCCCGTGTTCTTATCATGTCCTCCCTCCCTGTGTTCTCATCTCCCCTTCTCCACGTCCCCTCCCTGTGTTCTCCTCACCCCTCCCTGTGTTCTTCTCACTCCCCCATGTTCTTCTTACTTCCCCTTCCCTGTGTTCTTCTCACCCCTTCCCTGTGTTCTTCTCACCCCCTTCCCTGTGTTCTTCTCACCCCCGTGTTCTTCTCACTCCCCCATGTTCTTCTTACTCCCCTCCCTGTGTTCTTCTTACTCCCTATCTTCTTCTTACTCCCCCTGTGTCTTACTTCCCTCCTCCTCACTGTGTCCTTCTCCCCTACCCCCCATGTTCTTCGCACCTCCCCTTCCATCTGTAGTATGGGTGGCCAAGCTCCTCTTCGGTCCGCGGTACAGGAGCTTCTGTTTCCTGTACCTGGCCAGACTGACAGGAAGTGCACACTGAGTGGTGATGGATGAATATATTGGGGACACTAGGGATGTTTTCGGATTTATGTGGAGACGACGATTTCTGGATTTATGTGAAGACGCCATGTTTGTCATGCCAGCTCTAAAAATGGCTAAATATCACTGAGGTATGTGATCCGTACCTTTTAATTTTGTTTCTGCAGTAACTCTACGTTACAGGACCATTCAGTGGTATTTCTAAATATGATTAACATCCTTACATCATTCTCTGTATTGTGCACAATGTTCAAGTCAGAAAACAATGTCACAAGAAAAGCCTTGTGAGATTCAGACTACAAATCCCCTAGACCTTGATGGATACGTACACATTTGGAAGTCTAGTCCCATTGTGGCTCCTCTATGTAAGACGTTTAGTTTTAGATTTCGGCATCCAATCTATCACCCTCTCCTCCCAACAACACCTGCTCTATTTCTTGTTTTCCTTTACCCCTTCCTCCTAGATTGTAAGGGCTTTCTTCATCTCCTGTGTCTGTCAATTGCTGATTTTTAAATATGCTGACGAAACGGACACTGTGTAAATGAACAATAATTGTTCATTTATTGCTAGATTCTGGTTTTCCTGTCTATTTCTACGAATTCCAGCACCGTCCATCAGTGTTTAAAGATATAAAGCCAGATTTTCTTACAGCAGATCATGGAGATGAACTTCTGTTTGTCATCGGAGACCCATTCTTGTCCAATATGGATCTATTAAGTGGTAAGTCAAAGCCCCTATGTACTGGTTTGGTTCTGTCTTTGTTCCTCCTCAGCCAACATCATCCAGTGGGTGGGGATCTAATCTGCATGATACTTTACATGGTACATCCTATGGGGTTTCGGGTGACACTGGGTGTCCTAATGCATAGTGTGAGGATGTTCAGCGTCAGTTAGGCAACCAAAAGTCACTTAACGGAAGTCCCACTAGTGGCATACTGATAAAAAGCCACTAGCGGTGGAGTTAGCCCAAGCAGGTACATATGGCTGTTTATTAAAAA